TTATTGCATCTTTCATGAAAATTGATTGTAGATCCAAGCAAGACAAAATCCTTGACAACTTCTATCTTTTCTCCTTTTATCCTGATGTTGTTACCTTTTGGTCCAGTTGTGAGACTTTTGGTGTTCTTTACATCGAGGAGTAATCCTTAATGAAGACTGCAATCCATGCTCTTAATTAGCAAATGCTTCATGTCCTCCCCACTTTCAATAGCAGGGTTGTGTTATCTGTGTATCACAGGTTGTTAATAAGCCTTCCTCCAATCCTGATGCCACACTCTTCATATAATTCAGCTTTTCTGATGTACAGGTTGAGTAAGTATACATATAGTGAGAGGATATAATCCTGACACACACCTTTCTTGGTTTTAAACCACGCATTATTCCATTGTTCTGTTCACACAAACTGCCTCTTGATCTGTGTACAAATTCCATATAAGCACAATGAAGTGTTTTGGAACTTCGTTCTTCTCAGGGTTATCCATAGTTGATTATGATCCACACAGTCAAATGTCTTTGCATAGTCAGTCTGTCATCTGTCGCTTTCTGCAAACCAGATTTTCACAATGTAAGCTTTGATACCATTCCCTTCTTGGGATTTGGAGTCTATTTATAATCCTTGGATCACACAAGCTGGTGTGCTTCTTCCATGTGAGTTTAATTGGTGCCTCTCTTAGATGGCTTCTTTGTTGAAGACAAGCCTTTAAGACCCCAGCCAACATTCTTTTTTGATAGCTGGGTACCAACTAGTTTCTTGGACACACTTTGCTATAGCTCCTATGTCTTCAGTGATTTCTTCATGAGGGTGAGCATCAAGCAAGGCCATTTCATAAGAACTATTTGTCCTTATAGTCTTCGACTGGGGCTAAAATTAAGTGTGAGCAGTACAAACTATTTTTCTGCTTCTGATTTCACCCAAAATTTCAGTTGTATTCTTGATGGGGGCAGAATAAGCCACATAATAAAGCCCCAGAATTATCTTTAAATGATGCTAGTGTAATAGAGGTATGGATTCTATGCATGTGTGCATACATAGTGTCTCAACTAACTCAACTGCATTGTCCCACACTCAAGTTTTTCGTGCCTGCCTGTTACCATTCCAAACGCATATATCCAGTGCTTTTCAATGCCAGGCACTGGGCTGGCTGCTGGGGTTTAGGATGGTGAACAGGACAGTCCTTGGCCTAGTCCTTATGGTGCTTAAACTTAGGAAGAAAAGTCATGCTGAAACAACTAACTACAAACTGTGCTAAGTAGTTGGAAAAGGCTGTTCTGGGAAATTGAGATTCAAGTTGAGGATAAAGGTCAAAGGGTTTTTGTTTTTCATCATAAGCAGGTGGTTGTCATGATCAATCATTACGATTTTTATTTTACACCAGGATTAGATTTTATTGCCTACAGGGGAGCTTTATCTATATGATTACAAGTGAGAAAGAAGCACCACAATTCTTCAGCCAAGCAAACAGAGCCCCCCTGAAGAGGAGAGAAACCGAGTCTGAACGATGGAAAATTACTTGTTCAAGGGCAGCAGAGTTCTACCTGGTCATGCTAGAACAAAAGCCCAAGAACTGTGTCCAGTTGAAGTGTTCTTCCCAAGACAATACATTGATTAGGTATACTGGTGTTGAGTGCTTTTGCAGTGACCCCCTGAGAGTTCTATAAACCCATGTTACTTCACTTCAGGAACCCAACCCAAGTAAGAAACTACAACCTCACCAAGTACTTGAACTCTTGCCTACCCAGAGAGGGAATCTCTCCTATCATTGAAAACCTAGTAAGCATCTAATCACCACTGTTTATCCTCCCAATAACCTTATTGGTTATTTAACCTTGCTGGTCTAGTTCTTTAGTGCCAAACACTAAGTTTAAGTTATTAGTCTTATTTGTAATTTAAGGGCCCCTGGTTGGGCTGCTATGGCAGGATAAACATCAGGCTACGAACTGCAAGGTTGGTGGTTCAAATTCACCAGCCACTCAGAGGAGGAAGAGTAGGAGGCTGACTGCTCTTGCACTGCCTTTTCCTCCGTGACTAGTTTGTGGATTTGCCACGAGATTTAGTATTAGTATTATTAGGCTGGCAACCCGCTGTTTTTCTTTTTCTCTGGCTCCCGGTCCCTATGAGAACAAATGACTGAGTTCCGGTCCATGCAGGCACATCACAAAGTCACTTGTGGTTTCTTTTGAACACTTCAGAGTTTCCAGCACTGCCCAATGCTGCCATGTCTGTGGGCTGCCTGGCATTCTAAGTACCCCACACTGGCTTCCTCTGCCTTCTTAAACTACTCCACGTCCCATGTGCCCGAGAGCAGGAGTCGTTGGCCCTCCCACATTCCCTTGCCTCTTTTGGCACAGTCGGACTTGTTGGAATTTAGAACTGCTGGGACGTGGCATTTAATATCTGATTTCTTTTGCTAGAAAATTTTCTCTGTTCGTCGTTTTATTTTCTTCAGCGGGGCAGTATCATTTCCAGCACACACTTCGTTTCTGAGAACACACAATACCCCAGCAATGAAGAAAAACGTTAAGAATCGTTGAATGAATACCTGTTGTTGTTGGTGGTGGTGGTGGTCCATCAAGTCGGTGCCAGCTCATAGCTACCTTGTGCACACAGAACGAAACACTGTCTGGTTCTGTGCCGTCCTCAACATTGTTGTGCTTGAGTCCATTATTGAAGCCAGTGTGCCAGTCCATCTCCTTGAAGGCCTTCCTCTCTTTGCTGCCCCTCCACTGTACCAGACATGAGGTCCTTCTCCAGGGACCGGTCTCCCCTGACAACATGTCCAAAGTCTGTAAGAGGAAGTCTCACCATCCTTGCCTCTAAGGAGCACTCCGGCTGTATTTCTTCCCAGACAGATCGGGTTGTCCCTTTAGCAGTCCATGGTACTTTCAATATTCTTCTCCAGCACCACAATTCAAGTGCATGGATTCTTCTTCAGTCTCCCTTATTCCAGGTCCACCTTTCACATGCATATGAGGCGATGGGAAATACCATGGCTTTGGAGAGGTGCACCTTATGCCACAAAGTAACAGCCTTGATTTTCAATACTCTAAAGAGGCCTTGTGTCTCTTTACCTGATTCAACCCATCTTTTTATCTCTTGATTGCTGTTTCCATGACCATTGATTGTGGATTCATGCAAGACACAATCTTTGACAACCTTATCCTTTGCTGCATGTATCCTGATATCACCTCTTGGTCCAGTGGTGAGGATTTTGATCTTTTTTACATTGATTTGTAATCCATACTGAAGGCTGCAATCCCTTTAGATTGAGTTGTAATCCACACTGAAGGCTGGAAGCCTTGATCTTCATTACCAAGTGCTTCACTCCTCCTCACTCTCAACGGGCAAGTCTGTGGCATCAGTGCATCACAGGTTTTCCACAAGCCTTCTTCCAATCCTGACGCCACATTCTTTATGTAAGCCAGCTTTTCCTAGCCTACAGATTGGATAAGTATGGTGTGAGGATACAATCCTCATACACTCCTTTCCTGATTTTAAACCAGTCAGTAATTTCTTGTTCTGTTCTCACAACAGCCTCATGATCCATGTGTAAATTATGCATGAGCACAATCAAGTGTTCTAGAATTCCCATTCTTCTCAAGACTATAAACATCTTTCTGGTGTTCTCTACTTTGAGTCTAGATTCATCTGACTTCAGCAATGAAATCCTTGTTCTGTGTCCTCTTCTGAATCTGGTCTTAACCTCTGGCAGCAACCTGTCAGTGCACTGCTGCAACTGTTGTTGGATGATCTTCAGCAAGATTTGACTTCCATGTGATGTCAGCGATGATAGTCTATGATTTGAGCACTCTGTTGAGTCATCTTTCTTTGGATGGGTACAGATATGGCTCTCTTATAGTGCGTTGGCCAAGTAGCTGTCTTCCAGGTTTCCTAGCATAGACGAGTGAGTGCTTATTAAAGCAGTTGTTCTGAGGTACCATTACGTAGACTCTTGACTCAGATAAGAACCCTAAGCACAACAAAAGGAAACATGCCTAATTCTGGGCCATCCTCACAATGATTATTTTTGAGCCCATTGTTGCCGCTCCTATGTCAATCCTTATCTAGTAAAGGGTCTTCATCTCTTTCACTGAGCCTCTGTCTTGCCATACATGATGTCCTATTCCAGAGACTGGTCTTTCCTGATAACATATCCAAAGTGTGTGAGAGCAAGTCCTGCCATTCTCACACCTAAGGAGCACTCAGGCTGTACTTCTTCCCAGACTGACAGATGTTTTGTTCTGGCAGCCCATGGCACTTTCGGTATCCTTTATCTACACCGTAATTCAAGTGTATCAATTTTGTTGTATCTTCCTCAATCATTTTCTAACTTTCCTAACCATATGAAACAAAACAAACAAATCAAAAAACCCTCCAAATGAAACTCACTGCCATCGAGTTGATGCCGACTCATAGCAACCCTATAGGACAGGATAGAACAACCCCCGTGGGTTTCCACAACTTCATCTCTTTACAGGAGTAGAAAGCCTCATCTTTCTCCTGGTGGTTTCAAACTACCGACCTTGTAGTTAGCAGCCCAGTGCGTAACCCCTCATAAGCATATGTGGCAATAGAACATACCAGGCCTGGGGCAGACTCAGCCCCAAAGTACATCTTTCATCTTTGACACTTTGACCAGGTCTTATGCAATGGATTCCCTCCATGCCCAGTCTGTCATTGGATTTCTTGACTGCTGTTTCCGTGACCATGGGTTATGGATCCAAGTAAAAGAACACATAGGAAAGAGAAACCCAGGTAAACCCAGGTATCGGTGACTGAAATGTTTTGTGTAAAAGTCTATAGTTTGCTTGTTTGCGTCATTCAATCTTCAAGGAAAAATGGATGCTAGGTAATGCAGCCTTTGAAAAAAGTACATAAAATATTTAGGTCGTTAGACGGAAGTCTCGTTGAAATGCCAAATCCTATCATTACTTGGGTGAGGTCTCGTTTGGGAACCTACCAACCTACCTGATTCAATGTTCTTGATCTTCCTTCTTTTCAGGTCAGTCTCGACTCTCGGGTCCGAGAGGTGATCAACAGAAATCTCTTGGATCCGAACCCTCACATGTACGAAGATGCTCAGCTCCAGATTTACACCTTGATGCACAGAGATTCGTTTCCAAGGTTTTTGAACTCTCAGATTTACAAGTCTCTTGTTGAAAGTACTACTGCTGACTCTGCTTCTGAATCTTAATTTTCACATAACAAAAGAAATAACAAAACCATATTTTGGAGGGCAGGGCTAGAAAGGGAGCGTAGTTACATCACAGCTGACACTGAATCCCTGGAGGAGCTACAGTAGAGCATTCCTCAGGCTACTGTGAACACAGTCACAATCATTGCAGTCTTTGTCTCCATTTTTATCAAGGTGATCTATCCATGGTTAAGCTTGGAGAAAAACACCACGTAAAACAAGTGAATTGCCAAATGAGTCTGTTTAGTCAACAATTCATTCTACTTGCAAGCAAACTGTACCTGTAGTCCTAGGAGCAGTCTCCTAGCGTTGCTGCCAGACACTGCATGTGCACAGTAAAACTGCTTCTTCTGCCACGTAGTTGTACTATGTAGTCCAATGGCATATCTTATATCTCTGTATTTAAGGACTTCTGTGCAACATGGTCTCATAGAAATAATTGCCAAAAGCTGGCCGTGGTTTGCGTTTTCAACTTAATCTAAGACAGAAAAAGCCCCCCCCCCACTACCACCTTTTTTAAAGAACAGCCTAACAGTGGTATTCAACATGCTATCTATCCTGTGTTCTGTACACTAATTTTGAAGCCAATATTTCTGTACACAAAAAAAGAGCTATTTATAACTGTCTGTTTGTTGAAAAATCCTGGTGGGGAGGAGGGGGTGGGGAAGGTTCCTCTGATTGTTCATCACTGCCGAAACTGTGGCAGTTTCATTACAGAAGTGTTCGCTATGTTTAAAAAAAAAAAACAAAGACGAAAAAAAAAGCACAAAACACTTTGAAGCTAGCTTATATCGATGACAAATCAATGAGTGGTATTGTTTCTAATTGTAATAGAAAAATATGTATATATCAGATGTCCAATACTGGAATTCATTTATTAAAGACTGGCTCTCCAGTTCTTAAATGGTTGTGTAAAGTTATGTACTTCAGCAAGAGGAAAAAAGCTTGATCCCTTAGTTTTGGAACATAAAGAATTTAATGACGGGATGCCTACATGTACATACATTTGGATGAATAGCATCTGCCCACTGTCCTATTTCCCTTGAAAGTGAAACCCAATGGAAAGCAAAGTTTTTAAGCAGGGAAAGTTTTATAAGGGTGATGAAGATGATTTGCTACTTCAGACCTTAACTGTTTTCACATAGTATCATAAGAACTTATTTTATACTTGTTCAAACCAAACTTTTCATTCTCATCCAGAACTACAAACCACTAGAGTGCTTCAGGTCTGCTGGCTGCCAATAATTTTTCATAAGTACCACAAAATTTTTAAGACAAAATACTTGCCTGGCATTAGCACGCACTTCTGACATTCAACAAAACAGTATCCTGTCAGGTCCCCCCCCCAAAAAAAAATTATAACCACCAATGTCACGTTTATAACAAGTGTTACATTTGAATACTAACAATCCCGAAGGCTATTTTTTAAATCTTAAACTGAGTGACTAGAATATATTGAATAATTTAAAATAAAAGTTTTCAAACTATTTATATCCACCAAGAACACTGGCCTTATATTAAGGGCGATATTTAAATTGCAGGTTTTCTTTGTCATTTTTTTTTTTTAACTACCTCTCTCTCTCTCTCTCTTTTTAATTAAATATTTTTTAAAATTAAAAGAGGTTTGGGGTTTTCTTTTTCAGTTTATTTTACTTGAAGGCTGACATTGTAAGTTTCCTTTTCCATGCACTTAAAAAAGTTAAGGAATTGTGGTTTGTTTTTGTTTTGTTTTTCAGTGCATTTGGTTTTCTAGTTTATATAGAATTCAGGAGCTATGATTAAAAGGGCTATTATCTATTCCCTATGCAAATATTTTAACTGTTGCAGTGTTTGGGAAAATGGAATTCAACAAAAGTTTGCGGAGTAGAAAACAGCATTGTGTTTACATTGGCCTTGCCAATTATCCTGCCATACTCAGCACTTTTAAATACGTTATTTATGAAAATGTAGTTAAAATGCAAGATAGAAAATATTTATAAAAGTCATTTCTTTTAATAAATGCCTGTTTTGTCTGAAAGTGTTGCTGCGTTAAGACATATTTTATCTATGTTCAGCTATTTAAAATTTGAATAGTTTTAAGTACTATGTTGAAAAAAAAATAGCTATGAAGATGTTTACAAAAGGTCCTAGTTTTTCCCTAACAAGCGAAGAAGAAAAACGTAAGAAGTCATCGCTTCTATTGTGAAGTCTTCTTGTTCCTAGCATCATTTCATTTTTTCCTTGTTAGAATTGGGTTTATCATGCTACTATCATGCATACACAAACATGGTATAATATCATATGTGTTTCTGTGTTTGAGGCACAGTAAACTGGTGCACATTACCTAGGAAATACATAGTGTACTCTGAAACAATGCATGGATCACTCTTTTTAAATGTTGACTTTATATTCTTATTGTTACTTTATGAGGACCTGCTAGCCATAAGTTATCTTTATAAGATACTTTGGACTATTAGATGAATTGTCTGTTGGACAATCCCTTTAATACTTTACCAAATGGTAAGGGCCCTTGTAAGGAGCCCTAATCTCTAACCTGAGCATTTGGGGAATGTTGCCATTGGTTTCTCCTTTCAAATGTGATGAGGAAGTTGTGTTGAGGATGATACTGGAGGAAACTAGCACATCAATTAGTGGGTAGCCTTGCGAGGGTAGCATTTCTGAATTAAACTGTGTTCTTGAGTGAGACCCAGTTCTTATTAAATGTCTAAAAGTTTAACATCTCTAGCGAAACGCGTGTTTGTATCTCAGACAGTACAGTGTGGCGTAATCCCCTCTGTTTAAGTCACAGAGCTATGATAAACGAGCACACAAAAAGCCTTCAGCTGGTAGCTGTGTGCACAGGGCCTTGGTGGTGCTATGGCTGAAGCGCCCAGCTAACCAACAGCTTCAAACTCAAGCGCTGCTCTGGGAGAGAAAGATGTGGCAGACTGCCTCCATGGCAGTGACAGCCTTGGAAATGGGCCAGTACTATATGCTAGAGGGTTCCTGTGAGTCCCTCCACTTGACGGCAGTGGGGCTTGGGTTCTGAGCTATCTGCGGGTTGGTTACGCGTCGGGTTGCTAACTGCAAGGTCAGCAGTTGGAAACCACCAGCTGTTCTGCAGGAGACAGATGAGGCTTTTTACTCCCATAAAGAGCAAACCCACAGGGCCCGTTCTAGTGCAGTGGGCTCAAACACATGAACAATCGTGAAGATGGAGCAGGCCCTGCGGCGTTTCATTTTGTTGTGCACAGGGACGCTGTGGATCAGCATGAACTTGGGGGTATGCTACCCAAGTGGCGTTGTTGATTAGACACTGGGTTGCCAAGTGCAAAGCTGCCAATTCAAAAGCACCAGCTGCTTCGGGCAGCGGGGAGAAGGGGAGGGGGAGGGAGAAGGCTGTTTACAACCACACAGATTTAAAGCCTTGGAAACCACAATGAGTCGGAACCGGCTCGATGACAGTGGGATTTTAAAATTCTGGAGGGTCTATGCTACCATTCCAAGAGCACATGTTTTAGTAGAATTTGATTTTTCCTAGTGAGTGAACTACTCCTGAAAAACCACACACACATTTTCGAAAGGATACTTCCTATTGTAATTTGCCAACATATCTTTCTATGCCCCTAGATTCTGCCAATGCACTGGAAAGAGATGAATGCACTTTCTCAAGTGCCTAGTTCAGCTGTGTATACGTACAATGGAGAGAAAGGTAGAGGCGATGTTTATATGTACGAACTAGAGAGCCAGATTTCTTCAGAGATTTTTCTCGTTTTTAGCTCAGAGCTGCAATGGCTGGCACTTCACGCTGGCCGTCACTGTCCCCCTGGGTAGCGTAGATGCGTTGATGGCAGGACAGAAGCTGGAAGCACAGTAGGTGCCCTAGCACATGACCAATAAGAGCAAGCCACAATTTTGGCATTCGTTACGAAGTGCAAAGATGAAGACTGTAATGTGGTTGTTGTTTTTTTAATCTGAGAATATGTACCAGGGGGACCAGCTCTGAGATTTGGTCTTGGTGTGGGGGGTGTTTCTTTAGGACCCTTGAATGCTGCCTATACCCTTACTTAGCAGAATGAAATGTAGAATGGAACCTGAGAGCTCCGTTTTGCAAAAGAACTATATAAATAGGTAAATGTTTATCATTAGTAGTAGAAATACATTTTTGCCCTCATTAATCTCATTTTAAATAATGCCTGCTTAATTTTTGTTTTATTTTCTTTTTCTTTAGCTGATGCTGAAAAACTGTAAGTCATTATAAATGTGACAGATTACATTTGCAAAACATTTCTGAGATGCTTTGGGGCGGTGAGAGATGTAAAGGGAAAGAGTTTGAAATGCAACCAGAAAAATAAGAATCCTTCTAAAAACCACCTAAAATGTCATAGATTTCAAATGCCTGCAGACAGGATCTTATTACATATAAACACTTTGAGAGGGGTTAAAGATAGTTCTAAAACAAAAAGTGGGTTTTTTTTTTCTCTCGGCAGTGTATTTATCCTTCACAGTTTCTGAAGCCAAATGCATCCGTGCCCTACCCAACCCCCAACCCACCCTTTACAATCTCGGAGCAATCTCAACTATTTGTTCTGAGAAAACAGTAGTCTGTAAAAACTCAAGTAACCTCTCACTTACTACAAGTGCAGAGGTTTACCACTAAAGCAGACAGCAAAACAACCTATTTTCAATCTTTCCGGCAACGCTCTCCCTATACTGCTGCAACACCACTCAGGACAGAGTGTGTGCTCCCTCCGTGCCCCCCCCCACCCCACAAACACCCTTCTTCGATTTCTTTAGGAGTGTTTATGTCATTGCTACTGTTGCAGGTAGAGTCCCCTCCAGCCCAAAGATGCCCTTATTGGCATCTTTTCTGATGACCCCAAGGGCAAAATACCTTGTATTTTAATGAAAACACTGTGAAAGAGCGGGTTTCATTTTCCTCTGGTGATGAAAGCTCAGATGAGTTTTAAAAGGAAAGTTAGGGTGACGACAACCAAACCGAACACCTGCTCAAGCAATGCAGGTTCAACACCCGAAATCCACCCATCCCTTGGCATTGCTCATGTTGTCACCTTTCTGTCTCAGAGTTTGGCATTTGAAAAAGGTTGACTTGAGCCACACTGCCAGCATAGCCTTTCATTTTGAAACATGTGGCTAGGCATACCTGATTTCAAACAAGTCACAGAAGTTAAAAAAGGGCTCGAACACATGGCCTTTCTAAAGATCTAGCTCTTAATGCTTTGTTAAAATGCTGCCAAACACAATGCTTTATAGAACACTGTCATTTTTATCTACATTCCCCAGATCAGTAGAAGCCCGGTGTTTTTCAAGAATGTCCCTACAAGATGTCATCGAGTGCATTTCCTGTTATTTTTTAAACCACATTTGAAATATTTTAATTTTCCGCTAAGAAAAAAATCAAGCTCACTTTAAGATGGAGAAAGTATCCATCTGGTATTGCTTTGCTGAAAACTGAGTCAAAGTCCTTGTTTTCAGTTCACTGACATTGCACTCAATCTGCAATCTCTAAATGTTTCTTTAAATGCCCTATAAAGACTTAGTTGTAGGAAAGTAAGCGCTCTTGTAAGACTTACAGATAAAAAGTTGAAGATAAATCACCTGAAAATTGTATTTTCCAAAAGAAGTTTTTAAGGATAAGAATGTGAGTATCAGGTCATTTACCAAATGCAGGAAGACACTCAACACAACTAAAACTGAGACGATGAGACAGCATTGCTATTGGCAGAGAATAGCAAGCATTCTTTTTTAATATTATGGTGGTATTTCCTTTTGTATTTTTTACCAAGAAAATATGTAAAGGAATAAAAAGGTGGCTATATGTTCACTGAAGTTTGTATGAACTTTTTAGAAAGAGATTTTTTAGATTTACAGAAAAGTTGTAAAGATTGCACCCCTCCCCAGTCACGTGGTGATGAACATCTCACACTAATATGGGACATTTGTCTAAGAGCATGAACCAATGCCGATGTGTTACCAAGTCCGTGTTTAACTCAGACTTCATTTGTTCCTTAGCTAATGTCCTTTTTCTGTTCCAGAATCCCATCGTGGATACCACATTCCATCCAGCCATCATGTCTCCATAGACTCCTCTTAGCTCTGACAGTTTCCCAGAGTTTCCTTGTTGTTGATGGCCTTAAGGGTTTTGAGGAGTCCTGGGCAAGTTTTCTTGTAGAATTTCCTTCAGCTGGGATTTGTGGATGTTTTTCCCATGGCTAGACTGGGGTTTGGGGAAGAAAGAATACGGAAGTCGAGTCTCATTCTCATCAAATGACATCCAAGGTCTATCCCATCATCACGACGTCACCATTGTTGATGTTCACTCTTCTCACCTGGCCAAGGCAGTGTTGACTAGGTTTCTCCACTGTAAAGTTATCCTTAGTATTACGTTTTGAAAAGAGATTATGTTAGAGGTATAGTTCCTGAACATTTACATTGAGCAAGCTACAAAAAGATCTCAGCAAACTCAGCAACACTACTGTATTTCATTCAATTATTGCTAATGAAAGTTGAGACGATACAATGAACTGGAAGGTGGGTGGTAGAAATATAACTTCAATGTTAGCTTGATTCATCACTTAATGGAGGTGAAAACATCCCCCTCCCCACCCACTTGAACTACCTATATAATTAAGTTCTGCACATCTGGGTAGTGAAGATCTTAGCCTTTACTTATTGTCTGTCCTAAGAGATCATTTAATGGGTAGCCGTTTTTGCTGAATGCTTTTCTATATTGTCCTTCATTGAATAATGAACACTGAATATTAAACTCATATAAGACTTGATACTTTTTCCCCCGCCTTGGCTTTAGTCTATTTGTCACAAATATAATGTTTCTTGTATATGATTTTTGGATGTTTGCTAAATATTTAAAAAATTTTAATGTGTTTGACTTTGTAAATTTTATTATATTAAATGTAATTTTTTACTATCATGTTCATTGTACTGCATAATCAATATCCATGTTTTAGACTCCAATATTTATTAGTGCCCACAAAGAAGTTTTGAATGCATTACTACAATGGAAGAGGCATCTCGCTTGGTTATTTTGCCATGCCAGAATAACTGTGGGTACTCATAGTGACTACAGACAATTTTGATTCTTTTTCTTTAAGTGTTTTGGGGGTTTCTCATTCCTTTCCTTGAATCCATTTTATCTTTTTACCTATGTACAATAGACTTCCTGAAAATACTAGGTTTTTCAACATGTAATAGAATTTGAGCATGATAGTAATGTTAAGAAAATTCAGAAGTCTCAGCCTAAGTCTATATGTGTTTTTTTGTTTTCAAAGTAGATCAAACTACAGTTTTCTTCATTGGACTATATTGTGGAAGCCTATGGATATTATTGTAAAATGCATATGCATTGTACTGATTTTCTTAACTGTTTTAAACTAATAAAGAATTCACCAATGTATCCTTAGTTTCTTCATTGCTTTAACAGCGTGTTTATGCATCCGAGGGGGAAAAGGGGTTGTGGTTGGATTCTTTACATTATTGTATAAGGTTTCCTCTTATTCTAATTTGTACTTGTTAGATTCTTGAAATGACTTGTTTTGATATTTCTTTCAACTGAGAGATTTATCACTTAGTGATAAATGGCTTCTAGCATTTGTCTGTGTTTTAAAAAAGGAAAATCAACGTAGCGTTGGAAAAATGAACTTATAGAGGTAGACCACCTGGACAGACTTTAAATATGTGATAGCTACTACCCTGGTGAAGAGAAGCACTTTGATACAGCAGTGTGCATTTTATGCGGCCCTAGCTGTGCTCCCCTATTTAGTATACTAATACCCACTGCCCTCACATTCATGCCTACTCATAGCGAGCCCATATGACAGCGAAGAAATGCCCTTGTGAGTTTCTGAGACTAACTCTTTAAGAGGGGAGAAAGCCCCGGCTTTCAACCGTGGAGGGGCTCATGGTTTCGAACTGCTGACATTACATATCTCAGCCCTAAGCATAACCGCTATGCCAGGAGGCTCCTCCTCTATTTGGTAGATACTGCCGAAACAGATGACGGCGTTCCAGTGTTCTAGCAACGCCTTTTCTTCTTTGTACTTGGTCTGTCATGTCCATTCCTCGGGTCGGTTTTGGAACGCTCTTTTAAAGAAAAAGAGCCATTTATAACCATTCCAATAACCAGGGCTTTGTGAAAGTGTCGGGGTCTGGATGGAGGTTGGGTCCTGGCAGAGGGGCTGGAAGGTTTGGCTGAGCGTCTAGTAGGAACAGGGATCTCTCATCTTAAAAGATTGTTGATGGTAACCTACCTGCCCCACTGGGATGGGCCAGCAGGTGGCTCAGTGAGCATGGATAGTGACCTAAAGCAAGTTACCTGGCACATCTCACTCACTGCCCGATAGCAGTGATCACATCGATCCTAACTCTGAACGACCCTAAAGGTCAGGATAGAAATGCCCCTGAGTTTTCAAGGACTCTTTTCGGAAGTAGACAAGCTCGAGGAACGGCTGACCGTTTGGATATGCAGACCTTAATCAAGGTTAGCAGGAAAGCAGGCTTTTCCGATGTCACCCCGCGGTGGCCTTACGGTGCACTGGTCGTATCTTCATCAACACACAAAATACCGGCACTGGTGACCACCCCGCACGGCCAGGCGGGCACAGCAGAGTTCCGTCCCGTATTGGTCATTACACCGCCTTTCACTGAGCAAAAGGCCGTCGCTCAGAAATAAACCCTCGCTGCCAGAAAAATGTGGCAACTCACTGCTCGGCGTCCCTTTCTGCCCTGCGCCACCCAGGGGTAGCGGAGAAGCTAGCCGACCGGCGTTCATAAGAGTTGGCTCAGAATCCCCCGACCGCCTCACAATCCCCGGATCCGACTGTAGCCTCGCCGCCCCGCCCCTTTCGCTTTCTCCACGCCCCTTCCGCTTTTCGCCCCGCCCCAGCCCCTGGCCACCGCCCCCAATACAACGCCAACCTACCGGGCCGGAAGTTACCGCGCAGCTTCCGGAAGGCCTTTTAAACCCAGCGCGTTCATAGGCTAGAGCGCAGTAAATTATCGCCAATTGGCACTGCGACTGCGCATCGCAAGCTTGTGCGATCCGCCACTTCCGGCCTGATCTAGTTCGGGTGCTGGAACTGGTCCTCGCGATGCGGGGCCGGTTGCTGTGGGGGGCGGTGCGCTGCTTCTGGCCCCGCCGGGCGCCGGGCCCGACCCGCCGGCCTCTGAGCTGCGGGAGCCGCCCACTCGAGCAGCTGTTCGCCCGCGACGGGCCACTGCGGACCTTCCTCGAACGCCAGGAAGGGTCTGCAGCGGGGCCGAAGCTGGCGGAGGTGGCCAGACTGTTGAGCGAGAAGGAGCAGGAGCTGCGGGAGACCGAGAGCTTGCTGCACGGTAGGCCGGCCGGAGCAGGCCTCGGGAAGCCCCGCGTGGCTTCCCTGGGTCCTCTCCTGTACCAGGCCATAGGGAAGTCTCAGCAATGTGCACCGATCAATTGCAATCATAGGATAATATGTAATCAGTAGCGTTGCAAATTCCGTTGTCTTTTAGATTATATCAACGTAACCAAAGCTCTGTAAACTTTCTACACTGAATGACAACGTTAGAGACCTATGATGAGTGGAAGCCTTGTTTCTTTTTCTGTTTCCCCTATCACTTCATCCTCAAACAAGTTATCGTTACAGGTTCACAAATACTAATTATAAGACTGTAGCTAGAACACCAGAAACTTGACAAAATCAGCCACCTACATGGAAAATCGCAGCAGGGCTTGGCATACAGTTGTAGCTGGGCTGTGTAGTTCAAACGTCAGTTCAAACCCACCAGGCACTCAGTGGGAGAAAGGTGAGGCTCACTGCTACCCATAAAGATTGATAGCATAGAAAACCTTATCTAGAGTAGCAATGAGTCCGTCCACTTGATGCCACTGGGTTTTAACCTTGTAGGTATATTATTAATATGTATGTGTAAAGCCAGCTTCCAAAACTTGTTTTAGTTACCAGGATGTTGTTTCTGTTAGGTGACATTGAGTCAGTTCTGACTCTTGGAGCCCCAGTGTACAACAGAATGAAACACTGCCCAATCCTGTGCCGCGGATAGTTTATTAAATATAAATCTGTGCTGGAACAGTGCACACACTTTTGGACAGTCATTGTGGTGTCACTCGCAGTAAACAGTGTCACCCATTGGGTCCTTTCGTGCACACAACACGAAACACCTAACACAAAACCTCCACCAAATGATACCACTGACTTTTGTGCCTCTTCCTTTGCCATCTCTACTAAGCCCCTGGCCAGACGTCCATAATCTAGATGAATTTGAAGCTTGGGGCTTAAGTGAAATCCTTTTTTGCTTTGTGTCAGAGGTCAAGCTCCATCCCTTTCCTCAAACTCACTGCAGTCACAGCGCTCCCTGTAGGATCGAATAGAACTGCCCCTGTGAGTTTTCGAAACGGGAACTACTTACGGCAGACCTCTTTCTCCCTTTATGAAACCTAAGAAGTTGACATGATTGGTGGCATATTCTGGTGGGAGTTCACTAGCCCACCTGGGTCAAACAAGGCATTGTCCCTGTCCTGTGTTCTAGACCAATATTGCTCAGAATGTGGAGTGACCCCTGCAATAATAGGAGAAACCAAACCAGTGACCATTCATTTTGGAGCCCCAGGGGATGCCACAAGGAGCCCTGGTGATGTAGTGGGTTATGTGTTAGGCTATAAACCATAAATAAGGTCAGCAGTTCAAAACCACCAGCTGCTGCTCGGGAGAAAGACGAGGCTTAAAGAGTTACAAATCTCGGAAGCCGTAGGGGCATTTCAGCCTTGTCCTATAGGGTGGGCATCCAGTCCATGGCTGTGAGTTCTGATTTTGTTTTTGAGGGGCTGCAGAGCTTTTGGTTCAAGAGCCACACTGAGCAGCAAGGCTCTAGAGAAGGTCCTCTTGGGGAGAAGTAACTATATTACAATGCAGTTGAAATATAAGAAAAAAATGTTAATAAACACCAATTAGAACAGTCTGATACCCCCTGGCAGAGAAGGGAAGGCTTTGCAGAGGGATAAAAGCCCACCCTTAAAGGGTATACTAATGTAACCTCTTGAGCCCTTCAGACTGCTGGGCTTTCTTTTATGTATTTACTTCACATAACAAATTATGGTATAGGATGGAGTACTCCAGCCCAAAAAGGTAAGGTCACTGGGTTCAAGATTGCAAGAAATATGGGTTGGATTTCACTGACAATATTTTTCACCACTGTATTATGTTAGACCCCTGGTGGCATAGTGGGTTAAGTATTGGGCTGCAAACCACAAGGCTGGCAGTTCAAAACCACCAGGTGCTCTGTGGGGTACAGATGAGGCTTTCTACTCCCACAAAGAGTTACAGCCTCAGAAACTCACAGGGACAGTTCTACCCTGTGCTAGAGTCACGATGAGTCCAGATTGACTCGAGATGGATTGTTGGTTTTGTGGCCATTTAGAAAGTTAAGGAAAAAGATGAAGATACCATGGAAACCAATGAGGAGGCTAAGGGATTAGACATAAAGGAGGAATTCTAAGAGTAAGAGAAACTGATGACTAGGCTGTTACGAGGATTGACTCAAATAATGTTGGGACAAGTGTCTTCTTTTAATCATTTTATTGGGGGCTCATACAGCTCTTATCACAATACATACATCCACTGTGTCAAGCACATTGAGATAAGTATCTTTTAGAGAAAAAAAGAATTGGTTTGACAGCTCAACCAAGCTGAAAATTTAAGTAGATTTAAGGGTTAAATATTTTAACACTACACAGAGAAGTTAACAGAAAGTCAGGAAATTATTGCTGACAGAGTGCAATTCAGCTTAAAAACAGCTATCATCCAGCAAATGACTTACTGTATATATGAAAAAAGCAAGCCGAACCAAACCCCCTCCCATAGAGTTGATTCTGACTCATAGCAACAGCCAAGGCTGTAATTCCTTTTCTCACTGGGAGCGGATGGTGGGCTTGAACTGCCCGACTTGTAGTTAGCAGCCCGACCTCACCCACACAGTGCCATTATATGTAAAAAACTTCAATGCCATTGAGTCAATTCTGACTCAGTGACCCCATATATTATGAAGCACTCCAGAAAAAGCCAAACCCTTCAAGCTGAGTCCCTCTCCTGCCTGTACAGAACAGAGAAGGGCGGCTCCAGAGCTTCCAAGCCTGGGATCTTGAGCGGAGCCCTGGCAGCACTCGGTCAGCACCAGGAACCCACTAGCTGTGCCATGAGAGAAAGATTCCAGCCTTGCAAAGGCTACGCAGCAGTGCTGCTCTGTCCTCTAGGGTCACAATGAAGTGTAATTGATGTGGCAGCAATGGATGGGAGTTTTGTAGACACTGCACAGGAGCATGCTGCCACATCTTTCTCCCACCGAACATCGGAGGCTGCAAACCAACCACGTAGTGAGCAGATGCACACCAAATCCCTGTGCCACCAGGGCTCCTTCGGGTTGACCTTTGTTCGGTGCTGTTGAATGATGGAGTCTAGCTATCTCAACAGGTTCCCTTTCTCCTGCACAGTACTAAGTGGAACTGCTACAAGCATATTCATGTATTTTATAGAAGAGTAAAGAAAAATATTAGAACTTTTATGTTTTGATAGTTTTAATTTTACTCTCATTTGCCATAAGAAAAAGGGTTTTCTAAGCTATGTGCTGAAGCTTATCAAGACTGATATTTAGAATGGCACTTTTAATTAATGACAATTATTAAAAGGGCTTTCTACTTCTCTTAAAGAGTTAGTCTTAGAAATCCACCGGGGCAATTTTGCTGTACTATAGGCTTGCTGTGAGTTAGAATCATCTTGATCTCAGCGATTTTTGTTGTTGGTTGGTGTGGCTTGTTAAGAGAGACTGATGTCTAGCTGCAATAGGATAAAAGTGCTACTTTGAGATCTCTTGGCAAACTAACATTACTTATGGAAACTTTGATGCCTTTCTTCCTAGATGAAAATGAAGACATAAGGAAACTTGCAGAGAATGAAATTACTTTGTATCAAAAAGAAATAGCGCAACTGAAACATCAGGTATGATCTTTGCTGGGGTTTTTTGTTTGTTTCTTTGTTAATCATTTTATTGGGGGCTTGTACAACTCTTATCACAATCCATACATACATGTGTTGTGTCAAGAACATTTGTACATGTGTTGCCATCATCATTCTCCAAACATTTTCTTTCTACTTGAACCTTGGTATCAGCTCATTTTTACCCTCCCTCCTCTCCTCTCCCTCCCTCCCTCACCCTTGATAATTTTTTTTTTCATGTCGCACACTGTCCATGTCTCCCTTCACCCACTTGTCTGTTGTCCTTCCCCCAGGGAGGGAGTTATATGTAGATCATTGTTATCTATTCTCCCTCCCCACCTTCCCCTTACCCTCCTGGTATCCCTACTCTCATTATTGGCCCTGAGGGGTTTATCTGTCCTGGATTCCCTGCCTTTCTAGCTCTTATCTATACCAGTGTACATCCTCTGGTCCAGCTGGATTTGTAAGGTAGAATAGGGATCCTGATAGTGGGGGAGGGGAAGCGTTAAAGAACTAGAGGAAAGTCGTATGTTTCATCAGTGCTACACTACACCCCAACTGACTCATCTCCCATGATCCTTCTGTAAGGGGATGTCCAGTTGCCTACAGATGGGCTTTGGGTCTCCACTCCACACTCCCCCCTCATTCACAATGATACAGTTGTTTGTTCCTTGATACCTGATACCTGATCCTATCAACACCCCCTAATCACACAAGCTGGTGTGCTTCTTCCATGTGGGCTTTGTTGCTTCTCAACTAGAATTTTATTAGAGGTTTATAAAAAGCATGGCAGTTTTCTCTCTGCCTATATAAGATAGGATAAACATTCTGAGGTGAAAACAACAGGACCAACGGTTCCGGGGGGACAGGGAGGAGCAGGAGGTGGAAGAAAGGGATTAGGGAGCCAACAAACTCATGAATGAGGGAACAATAAGGGATCTAAAATCAATGGTGAGCAAAGTATAGAATTCCTGGTAGGGTTTCATCATGTGCATTGGAGCTGAGAGAAATTACTGAGCCCAGAATGAAGGGCGAACATGACAGTGGGACAGGAGGAAAGTAAACAGAAAATAGAGGAAAGAACTAGGAAGCAAAAGCTATTTATGTATGTATAAATATAGGAATGTGTATATGTAAATATATTAATTTATAATGATAGGGATATATGTCTTTGTACATATAGTCATGTGTTAAGTATTAAGGTAGCAGACAGACTTTGGTCCTCTACTCAAGGCTTCCTTTAACACAAGAACACTTTGTTCTAATAATCTAGCACTCTGTAATACTCATTTTCCCAATACATTTCACTGAAGACAAAATGGGTGCATAAGCAAATGTGCGAGTGGTGCTTGGCTATCAAAAGATGTAGTGTCTGGGGTCTTAAATGCTTGAAGACAAACAAGCGGCCATCTAGCTGAGAAGCAACAAAGCCCACATGGAAGAAGCAGACCAGCCTGTGTGATCACGAGGCATTGATAGCACCAAGTATTAGGCATCAAAGAACAAAAAAATCATATCGTTGTGAATGAAGGGGAGTGTGGAGTGGAGACCCAAAGCCCAACTGTAGGCAACTGGACATCCCCTTACAGAAGGGTTGTGGGGAGATGAGCCAGTCAGGGTGCAGTGTAGCATCTGAGTGCAGTGTGGTAACAATGAAACATACAGCTTTCCTCTAGTTCATTAATGCTTCCTCCCCCACACCATCATGATCTGGTATCAGGTATCAAAAGATCCAAAACAAACTATTATTTTGATGTAAACAAGGGGGATTGGACTCCAAAGCCCATCTGTAGACAACTGGACATCCTGTCAAAGAAGGGTCACAAGGAAGGGACAATTCAGCCAGGGTGCAGTATAACACCTACAAAACACACAGCTTTCTAGTTCTTGAATGCTTCCTACACCCATCATGACCTCAGTTCTATATGTACATTGGTACCAATAAGAGCTCTGAATGCATGGAATCCAGGACAGATAAAACCCTCAGGAAGCGTACTGGGAGTAGCAATACCGGGAGGGTGTGGGGAGAGGCTTGGGGAGGCAGGCAGAGAGAAAGGGGGACCAATCATAATCATATGGTTGGATATATAGCCCCCTCCAAGGGGGACGAATAATAGAAATGTGGAAGGTAACAGATGGTGTAAGATAAAAGATAATTGGTCAAGGATTCACAAGGGCAAGAGGGGGGTGGGGGCCAGAAAAAGCAGGACTGAAACCAAGGGCACAAGTAGAATTAAAATGTTTTAGAAATGATGATGGCAACATACTTACAACTGTGCTTGATGTAATTGAATTATGGGTTGTTATAAAATCTGTAAGAGCCCCCAATAAAATATTTTTTTTAAATAAATAAAAAGTGTGGCAGAATGAGCTGTCAGGTTACTGTTTAGAATGTCATTGTTAGGTACCAGAGTCAGCGCCAACCCATAGCCAGCCTATGCTCAACAGAAGGAACACTGCAAGGTCCTTCAAAGTCCTCTCCATTACACATAATTAATTTGTCAAATCTGCAATTCCATTCTTGGAAACATTTTTCAAACCCATCTGTTTGGATGGCTGACAGCACGTCCCTTGTTTTTTTCTTCACCTCTTCTCTGCCATTAAATCGAGGTCCTTTCATGCCCCTCTTCATTCACGGAAACAAAAGGAAGTCAGGTGAGTAAGTTGCGTGGGGGAGGAAAGTATGTTGTCCAAAATCTGGCCCACCGAGATGGCTATGTGAGTAGGTGCATTGTTACGGCAAACAAATCGGGCCTTTTTGTCGCACGCTGTTATGTAATCTTGATTAACAGTCTGACCTGGTGGAACGAACTCCAAATGCACTGAGTTGACATTTCGGTCCGGGAATTTGAAGGACGTACAGAACGAGGTTTATCCATCAATCAACATTTTACCTCTTTTGAAACCAGAAAGCCACTTGAAAACCACCAGCAAACTCATGGTTTTTCCATAGCACCCTGCTTGTAAGCGGTGCTCAACAGCTCAACAGTTTCTGCTGCATTTTTCCTGAGCAGGAAACACAATTCATAGCCACATGCTGTTCTCTGAAATCGGCCATCCCAAAAAACAAGGGTCAAGTTAAACTGCTTTTATGAAAAAGTTCACTGTGACTACAGAGAATCTCCTGGCAACGCCACAGGGTGCACTAACTCAGAGCAAGTTGTTCAATGTTCGCCTAGCGGGAAAAGTACATACTATGAAAGCTGTGCTAGGTGGAGCTGTTTTCTGTTTTGGGGGGGTACCCTCTCGTATGTCAGCAATTTGAAACCAGGAGCTACCTCAGGAGAGCTTGGGATTTCTACTCCCGTAAAAAGTCATCGGGGAGTTCTTTCCTATCCTATAGGGTCCTTAGGAGCCAGCATGGATCGGACGACTGCGAGTTTGGCTTTTCTGATTTTACTTTATCAAGCATGTTGTCCTTCTTCAGGGATTGATCCCTGAAAACACGTCCAAGGTATGTGAGATGGATTCCCGCCAGCCTCACTTCTAAGACCTAGAGTAAAACCCACTGCTATGGATTCTGTTCCAACCCGAGTGACCCTCGGAAGGGTTTCCGAGGCACTTCAAGGGCTTAGAGCGGACAGCGTCACCTTCCTCCTGCAGAGGAGTTGGTGGGTTTGAATTCCAACCTTGCAGTCAGCAATCCAACATTTACCCGACAACACAGCCTGGCCTCCTTAGAGACCCAGAGGAAGACCTCAAGTTTCAAGAACTAAATTGAACTACTTTGGTGTTTGTGTCCCATAAAATTGCAGGTGCATTAGATGAAGAATACACATATGATATTAGAACCAGGCTTCGCTCTTTGTTAATTCTGTAAAACAGCTTACAGATGTTCAACCACTGTCAATCCAAAGAAATGGGAAAAAAACACACCAGGTATAGTCCCCAACCAACATAAAGCACACTCGTTCAGACATGGAGTAGACTTGGGCTGGAGCTCTTCCAATTTCTAGTTGTAGGCTATTGGACAGTGAGGTTACTCAGCCCCTCAGTCTTGGTTCTTTGCTGCTGCTGCTGTAATAAATACACAAGTGGAAACATCTCAGTTGAGGCTGGAAGTCCAAACTCAGGAGCCCCCGCTCTGCGGGACAGCCTCTATCTCATTTCAGCATCTTTTCCTTGTCCACTCAGCGACTTTCATGTAGTGTGGTATCTGTACCCCTCATCTTTGCGTGTGTGCTCAATGAGCTCTTTTTATATCTCCAAAGAGCAGCCTTAAAATCCACCCCACACTGATCCTATCCATTAGCATAACAAAGAAGACCTAATCCCCAGTGGGACTATAGTCACCTGTTAGGATTTTACAGCACATCTTTGGGGGAGCCACAATTCATAATACCTCCTGAACTTAGTTTTCACGTAATTTAATACTGTTTTGAGAGTAAAAGGACCTACAGTGCCCTGGACATCCTTGTTAGATAGAAGGGCAGCGAAACAGAAGGGAGGAAGGCCCTTAAGGAGATGGGCTGACACTGGCTGCAGAATGGGCGCAAGCATAGAAACACCGGTGAGCATGGCGCAGGACAGCGCAGCGTTGCCTTCTGTGCACAGGCTCACTGTGGGTCAGATCTGACTAGCACCTAACAACAAAGGGCCCTCATAGCAGAGTGGGCTCTCTATTGGGTTGTTAACCATGAGGGCTGCAGTCTGAAATGGCCAGCGACTCCAGGGGAGAAAGCTATGGGTCCCTGCTCCCAAAGAGGTACCATCTCAGGCACCCACAGGGGCACTTTACTGTCTTCGGGTCCTCATGAGTCAGATTTGACTCAGGAGTAGAAAGGGCTTTTGAGTATCTAGCATAAGTTAAGAAACCGATAAATGTTGATAGGGTTTCCTAGTAATCATCTATTTTAAGAAGCCTTTTCTGTATCCCTTAACTAGTAAGTAGGAGCCCTGGTGGCATCGTGGTTACACAGTGGGATGTGATCCACATTGTTGGAAGTTCAAAACCACCAGCCGCTGTAAGTTGGGGCTTTCTCCTTCCAGAAACCGTTGCGGTCTTAGAAACTCAAAGGGGAAGTTCTGCCCTGTCCTGTAGGGTCACTGTGAGTCTACATCAACTTGATGGCAGTGATTTGGTTTTGAGTTTTAACTACTAAATATAAGGTTGCCACCAGTTGGACTCCACCGGATGGTAGTGGGTTTGGTTTGGGTTTAAATAGGAACTGAGTGTGAAACTGAAGAAATGGCCATATCTCTCTCTCTGGTCCTCAGCCTCTCAGCCATGTGTTCCCTTGGCCCCTGCCTTGCTGGTCAGCCTCACGGCCGACGCGGCTCCTCACCTGCCTTGCTGGTCAGCCTCACGGCCGACGTGGCTCCTCACCTGCCTTGCTGGTCAGCCTCACGGCCGACGCGGCTCCTCAGCTCTGTGTTCTGGTGCAGGCTCCGCTGCCTCCACCACTAGAGACAGATCTAGCACATGCTCTTCTGTTGGCGGGTCTTTCTTGATGGTCACTGGGTTCTCTCTAACTGCTTCTGAAATGGCTCACGTCTACACCCAGAGGAATGACAAAACTGAGCAATCCCATTTACTAGTGTTCCACACACCCTACGTGGTCTCACTCAATCGTCTGTTGGGAGTTACAAAGACGGATAGAAGGGCCATTCCAAGTAATTTTATTCACCACTGAAACAGTAATGATGGACACAGGAGAGCAGCCTCACCGTGCTGCCATCAAGGGTTCCATTCCTGGAGACCCCACAGGACAGGCTAGGACTGCCCCGTGGGTTTCCAAGATTGGAACTCTTTACAGGAGTAGAAAGTATTTCTCCCTCAGAACGGCTAATGTTTTGAACTGCAGATCTTCTGGTTTTGCCCAGTGCATAACCACTGTACCTCCAGGACTCCTTATGTTGGAGTCCTGCGACATGAATTCTTGGGCCTGAGCTGCCAGTAACTAGTGAGTAACTTACTATTATTCAACAGATTAGTGAACCCCTTTTCTTTTACATGTAAAATGAAGGTATGAAACCAGATCATCTCTGGAGCTCTTTCTGTTCAGAAATCACAGGTTTCTCTCCCATATTAAGTAGCCTTAAAAAACTAACAATGCAATTTGAGTACAGTTATTCTTCTGCCCAAGGAAGCCAGGTATTTCAGGTTAGAAAACTAGTATCTCCTTTCTTTTGCGTACATCCCGGATTGCGTCCTACTCATAGCAAGCACTTCATTCTGACAGGATACTAAGATTAGTGGATTTAAACAACGCATGAGCTTCAGAGAGAGAGCAAATAAGGCTGTAAGCTTTAGCTAAACGTTAGCGTATGCATGGTATCATCATAACATTAATATTTTCCTGGAACTTAGACGTTAGCTTTGTAGCAGTTGTTAATGATAGTAGGGATGGTATTTTTGTATTTACAGATTATCTTCCTCTTGGTTCCCTCAGAAGAAACAGATGAAAATGATCTGATCTTGGAGGTAACCGCCGGAGTAGGGGGTCAGGAGGCAATGCTGTTCACTGCAGAGATATTTGAAATGTATCAGCAGTATGCTGCATTTAAAAGGTGGCACTTTGAACCTCTGGAGTATGTCCCAAGTGAAATAGGTCAGTCCACGACCAGTTTGACTTGTTATGAGTAAAGTGTGTGTGTGTGTGTGTGTGTGTGTCTGTCTGTCTGTCCATCCTAGACCACGGGTAGGCCTGAGAACTCATTTTGTTCAAGGCAAGTTGCTTACATAGTCCTGTGCTCATCATTTACCTAATATTTTAAAATCCAAATGTGTGAATTTGGAAATGGCCTATAACAGTGATTCTCAACCTTCCTAATGCAGCGACCCTTAATACAGTTCCTCATGTTGTGCTGACCCCCAACCATAAAATTACTTTCATTGCTACTTCATAACTGTAATTTTACTAGTTATGAATCATCATGTAAATATCTGATATGCAGGATGTTACAAATTGAACATAATTAAAGCATAGTGATTAATCAAAAAACAATTAAGTAATTATATATTGTAAAATATTTCTAATGACAAATAAATGAAATTTTGTCTTAAAGCATGGTGTAGCATGGGTAAGTCTTGGGCGACCCGCCTGGAGATGCAGAGGAGTGATGTCTGGTTCCTAAGACCTTTCTGATGGTCTTAGGCAACCCCTGTAAAAAGGTCATTCAACCCCCAAAGGGGTCAAGACCCACAGGTTGAGAACCACTGGCCTATAAAATGGCAGTCAGTCTGTAAGACTAGCTGTTGAATGAGTAGTGGTCTTTCCAAGCAGTCCTCTTCATGTGGAATTGAATTAATCTATTAGCACTATACATGCTTTATGTGTAATAATGAAAGCAATGACATTGCTAAGCATTAAAGCATTGAACATCAATGCTGAATTGTTTTAATTAATGTGGCTTACAGTCAGTATGCTTGCCTGAGGTTTTTGATGGCTCTTTCAAATACATGTCTACATGGTAGAATGATGGCCAAGTCCTTGTAACTGGCAGGAATCAGGAGATCCCCCTCAACCTTCCCCGTCTTCCCCAGGTGGCCTGAGACATGCATCTGCCAGCATTGGGGGTGCAGGGGCCTACGAGCTCCTGAAACACGAAGGCGGCGTGCACCGAGTGCAGAGAGTGCCAGAGACCGAGAGGCAGGGCCGCGTCCACACGAGCACCATGACCGTCGCTGTGCTGCCCCAGCCCACGGAGGTAAGAGGAGCCCTTGGCAGCCGGGGATCAGCAGTATGAACCCACCAGCTGCCCCTCCAGAGAAAGGTGAGACAGGCACTATAAGATTTACAGCCTCAGAAACCGCGGGGAGCCGGTTCTGCTTCTCCTGCAGGGTCTAAGTTGGGATCAGCTCAGTGGCACTGGGCTTGATTTTGGTTTTGGGTTGAAGCACAGTCACCTCCTGCCTCCTTGGGAACTCAGAAGCCACTCCCAGTTCTTGGGCTCATGTTTATGGACTTGAGCGTCTCTTGATTAATTGGGCTTTATCACATATTGAGTTGAGGATCTCAGGCCAAGCAGTGTTAACTTTAACAGTATCATGAAGGATTTATCTTAACCTTGCCAGATCAATGTGATTTTGAACTTTAGAAATGTGAGTGAAACCATAGTAACTTTTTCTTTCCTAAAAGGTCTGTTTTATTTTATTTGGTACATAGATTTCCCCCCCCACCACACACCCCCCACACACACACTCCCTCCCCCCCCTCCCCCCGGCTTCCATCTCTCATCTACTTGTTATGTGTGTTGAATGGAACTCAGAGTCCGAGTTACTCAGACCAGCAAGGACCATGAGGGCTTGGTGTTCTCTGCGGTTTCTTCCCCCTTCCGGTAGTCTCGCACTTTTCTGTTTGCTTCTTCCTGTCACCTCATGTTTCTGCCTCCTGACACTCCTGGGATTCTGCTTCAAGAACCAGCTTCCTCCCCAGGTGGCTCCTAGTTGCCAGTAGTTGGTCCCTTGCCATTGCCACCGCTCACGCCCTCCTGCACCTTTGAGCTCAGCACCTGTGCTGTGGTGGCGGCGCTGTCACTCTGTGAGATGCCTTTTGCCTTCCTCTCAGTGTGAGACTCTGCCCTGGTGGACATGTTGTTTATTCTTCCCCCCAGCTCACCTGGGTTAGTTTTCAGTCATATACTTCCAGGATTCAAACCAGTCTGGATTTCTTCATTTTAAAGAAACAACCCCCACATCTAACCAAGAGTCAGCTTTTGCAGTTCTCAAAATACCCTATTGCAGTCCCAGTGTTTGTACTGTAAACCCATCGCTGTGTATTACATGAGTAATTATAGTACTTCCTCAAGGGTGACCTGCACAGTAATTTTAATAAATGTTTCTGTGGTTACCACTTAAGAACACAAGGAACCAAATTCACTGCCATTGAGTTGATACTGACCCATAGCGACCCTATATAAGGTTTCCAAAATGACATCTTTACAGAAGCAAAAAGCCTCATCTTTTGCCCACAGAGCAGCAGGTGGGTTTGAACTGCTGACCTTGTGGTTAGCAGCCCAAAGCATAACCCACTACCCCACCAGAGCTTCTTATGCCTTGTAGGAGGGCCTCTAAATATGTCTGTTTTCTGACTGGTCCTCTTTATAGTGATTTGTTTTCTGTGACAGGCTCCTACGGTATTACTAGCAAGAAGCCAATTTTAGCAGGTGTAAGGACATAATGGAATTGTTACTCCATAACCTACATGCCTTACAAGGGAAGTGTCCTCTTTTGGTGTTGATAATGAGTATGCTCTCGTTTTCAGGGAGCACAGTCTCAGTTTTTGTTAATTAACTTAGTTGGGAAGCTCTGGTTTGTTTTATCCCTTCTGGAAAGCTAGCTTTACATAAAAGGAAACATTTGATTTCTTCTTCTAAATAAAGTATTGGTGTTTGGGGGTGAGTGGATTTTCATTACTTTGGGGGAAGAGAATGTTTGAATCTCTTTAAGAAGATTGAGGAGTTCCTTTGTTAGATCTAACTTGTGTGGGCTGCTTGTGTAAAGAAAAGAACGATTAAAGAACAATTCGTGTGGGGTCTCCAAAATGAGGAGATTAGGCCCCTGGGGCAGGTACTGAAATGGCCCAGAGGGACTGACCTATAATTTATCTTGGATCACAGGCTATGGTACAAATGTCTTTAATTGCCAGGGGGCACTGCGTTTTTTTGTGTGTTTTTTTTTTCTGATTAGGGGGCCGTCAGCCAAGTAAGTTGGAGAAAATGTGAATTAGTGGAAGATGGGGCAGGAGCCACCCACGCCTACAGGAAAAGATGGAGATTGGTACATAGAAACCCCAAACCAAACAAAATGCACTGCCATTGAGTCAATGCCGACTCAGCAACCACATAGGACAGGGTGGAATTGCCCCTGTGAGATTCCGAGACCGATTCTTTATGGGAGTAGAAAGCCCTGTCTTTCTCCCCTGGAACTGCTGGTGGTTTCCAAGTGCCGGCCTCGCAGTGAGCATCCCAAGCCTCAAACACTGCGCCACCAGGGCTCCTGCAGTCCACAGAGCACCTCATTTAATTCTGCTGGGATTTATGAGAGGAAGTCAGAAGCGGGCCTGTGGGCCCATGGAATAACAGTTTCTACCACTGCTGGGGTTGTGGACTTGCTTCGAGTTGTTTGCGAAACAGCTGGTTAGTCAGATGCCAGCGCCACCATGAATTGAGCCCTGCGCTGGACTTCTTGGTCGCTGTACTTTCCATCTACCTCACCTCCGCCCACTAGGGATAGCTGACCATCTCCATGCTTAAAATAAACCCTTCCCTTCGTCCTCAATCTGATTTTGCTCTTCCTCCATATTTCTATTTTTTGAACTCAGAAGTACCCTAAAAATCTCCTTTATTGCCCTGTTTCCATTTCTAATAGTATCCCAAGTTCTGCTGCCTGTGCTAAGAGAGTAATAGCAAAGTTTCGATTAACATTGTTGTGATACACTACATGCCAAAAGGGGCCCTGGTGGTGGTATGCTGTGGGCTACATGCCCAAAAGGGCCCCGGTGGTATGCTGTTGGACCCATAACCTAGAGGTCAGTGATTCTCCTCGGGAGAAAGATGAGTCTGTTTGCTCCCCTAAAGATTTACAGTAGTGAATTCCCCTCTGTAGACTCGCTAGAAGTCAGAACTGACTCGATGACCGGACAGGTAGGTGGAATCAACTCACTAGCAGTGAGTTTGGCCTCTCTGTTGTCTCCTAAACATACAGTGGTATCCTTCCAACTGCTTTATAGTCTTCGAATTAAACCAAAATTCTATGCATTCTGTATCTGGCATAGATTTCCAAAGTAAAACCTGCAAAAGTCAGAGCCAGTGTAAGTTGGAAACCTGTCAGAAAAGGAACAAACAAATGTTTCCCATGAAAAGGAATGATAAGAAGGTCTCAGGCAGAGAAACTTGGCTCAGTTCCGGCCCTCACAGCTTCCGGTGGTTACAAATGGCTAGTCCGTATCCTCAAACAGTTGCTCTGAATCATTTTCTTTAACATGCCCCACTTTTCTCTTGCGTACAGATTAACCTAGTGATTAACCCTAAAGACCTGAGGATCGACACCAAGCGAGCCAGTGGAGCTGGGGGCCAGCACGTGAACACCACAGACAGCGCTGTCCGGATCGTGCACCTTCCCACAGGTAGGCGGCAAGTCCCTTACAGTGTGGCAATGGGGAAGAAGCCATGTTGGAAAGGCTTTTCTCGCTGTCCCCTGAAATAGAGCCTCATACACAACTGAGCAAGGCAAAGTCGTTGACAACTTCAACCTTTTCTTCATTTGTCATGTTACCTATTGGCCCAGTTATGAGGATTTTGTCTTGCTTAGATCCACAATCAGTGCTCATGGAAGCAGCAGTCAAGAGACCAAAAGCATTGCATTAGGTAAATCTGCTACACACGACCTCTTAAGAGTACTGAGAAGCAAGGATGTTACTTCGAAAACGAAGGTATACCTGACCCAAGCCATGGCATTTTCAATTGCCTCGCATGTACAGTGAATCCTCGCCACTTCGCACTTCGACTTCCGCGGCTTCACTCTATTGCGGTTTTTGCGTAACAGCGCATGCTCTGTCAT